CATAATTGTTAAACTTCTAGAAAGCTATGGCCACTGTCATTGAAAGCACCATGTTATTCAAGTAACACAAAATCTGCTGCTTAATACGTGTTCACTGGAAAGGATGCAGAAACTCAAAGATCTGACTAAAAGCCGTCACTCGCATTCTGCACCATAAGCATAAAAACTCACATCACAGTCACTGAAAGCACCATGTCATTCAAGGAACACAAAATCTGCTGCTTAATATGTGTTCACTGGAAAGGGTGCAGAAACTCAAAGATCTGACAAAAAGCCGTCACTCGCATTCTGCACCATAAGCAATAAAATCTCACATCAGAATTGTTGAATCTCTACAAAGCTATGGCCACTGTCATTGAAAGCACCATGTTATTCAAGTAACACAAAATCTGCTGCTTAATATGTGTTGACTGGAAAGGGTGCAGAAACTCAAAGATCTGACAAAAAGCCGTCACTCGCATTCTGCACCATAAACAATAAAATCTCACATCATAATTGTTAAACTTCTAGAAAGCTATGGCCACTGCCATTGAAAGCACCATGTTATTCAAGTAACACAAAATCTGCTGCTTAATACATGTTCACTGGAAAGGGTGCAGAAACTCAAAGATCTGACTAAAAGCCGTCACTCGCATTCTGCACCATAAGCATAAAAACTCACATCACAGTCACTGAAAGCACCATGTCATTCAAGGAACACAAAGTCTGCTGCTTAATATGTGTTGACTGGAAAGGGTGCAGAAACTCAAAGATCTGACTAAAAGCCGTCACTCGCATTCTGTACCATAAACAATAAAATCTCACATCAAAATTGTTAAATTTCTAGAAAGCTATGGCCACTGTCATTGAAAGCATCATGTTATTCAAGGAACACAAAATCTGCTGCTTAATATGTGTTCACTGGAAAGGGTGCAGAAACTCAAAGATCTGACAAAAAGCCATCACTCGCATTCTGCACCATAAACAATAAAATCTCACATCATAATTGTTAAACTTCTAGAAAGCTATGGCCACTGTCATTGAAAGCACCATGTTATTCAAGTAACACAAAATCTGCTGCTTAATACGTGTTCACTGGAAAGGATGCAGAAACTCAAAGATCTGACTAAAAGCCGTCACTCGCATTCTGCACCATAAGCATAAAAACTCACATCAGAGTCATTGAAAGCACCATGTCATTCAAGGAACACAAAATCTGCTGCTTAATATGTGTTCACTGGAAAGGGTGCAGAAACTCAAATATCTGACAAAAAGCCGTCACTCGCATTCTGCACCATAAACAATAAAATCTCACATCATAATTGTTAAATTTCTAGAAAGCTATGGCCACTGTCATTGAAGGCACCATGTCATTCAAGGAACACAAAATCTGCTGCTTAATATGTGTTCACTGGAAAGGGTGCAGAAACTCAAAGATCTGACTAAAAGCCGTCACTCGCATTCTGCTCCATAAGCAATAAAATCACACATCATAATTGTTGAATCTCTAGAAAGCTATGGCCACTGTCATTGAAAGCACCATGTTATTCAAGTAACGCAAAATCTGCTGCTTAATATGTGTTCACTGGAAAGGGTGCAGAAACATTCTCGAATCTTGTGTGACTGTTGTTGATATACTGCAAGACAATAGTAGAGTCAGTCCAAAACGTCACTTCATGTATAGGCAAAGTGAGTTCTTCCTTGATCTGCTTGTGAAGCTTTACAGCGACTGTGGCAGCCGTTAACTCCAGTCGTGGTACTGTCACAGTCTTCAGTGGAGCAATTCTTGCCTTTCCCAGTAAGATGCTACAGGCGATATTACCAAGTGCATCAGTTAAGCGCAGGTATGAGACAGCCCCATATCCCTCTTCTGAGGCATCTGAGAAATGATGCAGCTGGACGGAACTGAGCTCGCCAAAATCTCTCGGTTTCACACAACGTGGTATGGCTACTTCGGTAAGACCAATGATGCCCCTTGTCCAATCTTGCCACTGCAGAAGGTCGTCTTCTTGGACTATGTCATCCCAACCAAGCTCGTCTTTGCATAACTTCTGAAGCAGTCGCTTAGCTGGAAGTATAACTGGAGCAGCTAGGCCAAGAGGATCATATAGAGATGAGGTGACAGAAAGAATCTCTCTCCTTGTGTTGGCTGTAATATTCGGAATGGTCCTAAACCCAAAGGTGTCTTCCTCCGTGTCCCACTGCATACCAAGGGCGCGATCTAACGGTAAATCTTCTAAGTCTAGGTTAAGGTTCTTCACTGACGTTGCTAGGTCTTACTTAGCGACTGAGGACAAGATTTCTCGACGATTACTGATCCACTTTGTTAAGCGGAAGCCTCCCCTACTCAACAATTCTGGCAGCTGCTCAACTAATCGTACCGCCTCTTCAGTTGTTGCGACCGATTTAACACAGTCATCAACGTAGAAGTTCCTATTAACCGTATCGATGGTTTCCACATCGAAGTCCGTTTTGTTGTCTTCTGCGGTTTTCTTTAATGCAAAACTTGCACAGCTAGGAGATGATTTAGCTCCAAAGATGTGAACAAGCATTTCATGGTCTTCTGCTTCTTTAGAAAGATCGCCACCAGGCCACCACAAAAATGACAGAGCACAAGTGTCTTGAGGAGACACTCTCACTTTATGGAACATCTTCTCTATGTCGGCCGTAAGACCTATTTGCTCTTGACGAAAACGAAGTAGTATTCCGACGAGATTATTGGTTGAATCTGGCCCTTGAAGCAGCTGTTCGTTGAGTGACGTATTGCGAAATTTAGCGGCGCAATCGAACACAACTCTGGTCTTCTCAGGTTTTTGCGGTTGTATCACAGGATGGTGGGGAAGATACCAGACAGAACGTGGCACTTGATGTAGAGATACTTTCCTCGCGTGACCTTGTGCAATGTAATCTTCAACAGCATCCTTGTACTTCTCTTGGAGATATTTGTTCTTTTCCAAACGTCTTTTCAGAAGATTTAGTCTTTTTTCGGCCGTAGGTCTGTTATTCGGTAGGCACGGATTATCATACTTCCAAGGAAGGGAGAGCTGATAATGGACATCGACCATCTGAACGGTTCGTTCCATTATTGCCAGCGCTCTTCTATCTTCAATCGACATCATTTCTTTAGATGACGCAGACGATTCGCCGAACTCTGCGTTGTACATCCGCTCAATTTGTGCTGACAGCGTTTCTTGACCTCCACTTAAGAAACTGACGGTCGCTTCAGGGTTGCTTGAACCGCCAACTGGTCCGATAAGTGTCCAACCAAGTAATGTCCGTGCAGCGCAAAACTGTTTACGGCGACCACGGCGCTCTTCAAAGACCCAGTGCGCCTCGGGAACATCATTGCCGATTAAGATGGATACCTCTTTATCGAGCTTAGGTATACTTATACCCTGCAGATGCGGCCAATCGCGGATATCTTCGGTGCTGGGTATGCTTTTCTTTCAGACAGGTAACTTGTCAACAGTCCACACACGATCTAGTTGTATGCATTCATCTGACGACAATGCTCTCACAGTAAGACTAACTTCTTCTCCAGTCCGTTTGGTTCTCTCGGCATTAATGGTAGTTAAAGAAAAAGACGTTGGAGAACCTCTTACTCCTAACTCATCCAGAAGACGTCGTAGACACAAGGTGGTGTCAGAACCATCATTAATAAAAGCATATGTCTCCACTTCTCGTCCACCTTTAGCAGAAACTTGGACGGGCACAATCTTCAAACTAATTCTGTTTTTTTCTGGCACTTGTCGCATAATCCGCCCCGGCCTCGATGTGGTGTGGACTTGCTTCAGCCAGATCTTCACGAGTCGCTGTTGGCCCGGTAGCAGGATCTTCAGAATCACCTCGCGTTCTTGAAGTCTCATTTGAAGCTATGGGAGCGCTCAATGAATTAGGTGGGTGCAGCAAGGAATGGTGCCTTTCTCTACAGCGACTCAGCAAGCGAGCATCAAGACTCCTGCATCGTCTAGCGATGTGATTAGGCTTCAAACAATTTTCACACAGATTTTGTTTCCTAACAAAGTCCTTCCTTTGAATATATCGTTTGTCCCGGAACTTAAAACACTTCTCCAATTCATGTCTTCCATCGCAAAACTTGCATTTGACTTGACCATCCGTTGCTGACCTCTGATTTGAGCGTTTGCTGTTGGCTGCATTGGCTTGGTTACTAACATCCTTCTCAACTTGAGTCAAAGCAAGCACAGCACCATCACCATCAGCTGCTTTTCTTGGTTGTTTTGTGACTCTTGACTCTCCAAGCTTGAATCCAACTAACTTCCCGAACTCAGTGTTTGCTATCAGAGCCCTTTTTTTGAGAAAGTCTGCCAAATGAGAGAAGGTTGGTTCAGAACCCATTTCCAAAATCTTCCCCGACTCATCCGCCCATTTTGCCTGCATGTGCACAGGAAGACGCATAACGATCTTCTTCAGAGTGTCCAAAGAGTTTATATCGGCTTGATAGCTCAATTCCGCAGAATTCAGCAAACAGATTCGCATGTCCCTTGCGAGCTGTGAGAGTTTCTCTCCATCGGAAGATTTTAGCTGCGGTCCTTTGACAACTTTATCGATGAACGATCGGATGATGACATGACGTTGTCCAAAATTCTTTCTAAGAATTTCACGAGCAGCTTTGTATCCTTCAGGCCCTGGCAGAATTACACAGTTTTCCATTGCCTCCTTAGCTTTGCCAGTGCAATACTGGATCAGATAAGATAGCCTTACATTGTCATCTGTAATCAAAGATTCCACGTTTAGCTCAAAATTCTTAATAAATCTGGGGTACCTTGAAGGATCGCCGTCAAAGTACAAGAATTCCCGCTTTGGCATGTCCAACTTCTCAAGTCCAAGAACAACTTTATCGATAGACATCTGCTGTTGCTCCATAATCCTTTGAAATTTAACCGTTGTTTCGTCAGTGCTATTTCCAGTAACATTCTTCGCTTCGGTACGTCAGCTTTCACTTCCGGTAAAACGCATTTCTCAACATCCGGTTGACCAGGAACGGCGGAAAGTGACAATCCTTCCAAATATTTCCTCACGTTCTCGTGACCTCTAACTGATCCTTCGGAAGAAAAAACAGAGTCAAAATCAACCTGATCCCCCAGTTTGGCTTCAATCTCAGCCTGTTCTGCGTCAATCCTGGCTAACATTAATTCGCTTCGAATGTTCAAACGTTCCTTCTCGGCTGACAAACGCGTGTTTTCTTCTTGTAGTCGTAACGCAATTTCACTTTCCTTTATCTCTTGTTCAGCCAGAAGCCTTTTCACTTTAAGCTGAGCCATTGTACACTTGACATTCCGTGCCGATAACTGACTCCCTCCTTTAGAACTATTTTTCCTTGGCTGTAATTGACTTGGCGTCTTATCGCCGCCACTTGCATGATCTTGAGTCGCATTAGGTGTTTTCGTTTCCAACAAATCACTACGCGCGCCCGCACGGGAAACTGAAGGATTTGTGTTCTGAGTTCCTTGAAAGGCACCCTCTAATCATACAACAGGCGTTTTGGAGCTCAAATCAAACCCAGAAATATTCGCAATTCCTTCACCGTAAACTCCTCGACTTATTGGGGTGTAAACATCGTTTAACCATTCCTTGTATTTGTTTTCAAACATCTGCATTCGATAAACATCCTTGGCGTAGTCACGAGTAATACGCTCTCTATCCTCTTGCGCCCCAGACAAATGGTACCACTGCGCACAAGCCCGTTTAAGCTTCTCGAATATGCTCACCAGCGAACTGTGCTTTTCAACAACTTCTTTAGAAGCAATTTGCTCCAAGAGTAGCGGATCTAATTCATTTATAATCCGCGTAATGTGTCCACGGTAGGCTATAATCGTCCGTCCCAAGCTGTCTCTTTCACCAACCGAAGACATCGTTAATGGTAATTTCAACTTGGAACTCCTTTGATCTGTCGCCAACCAGAGCGGCCAACTTTTACCAAAGTCGATCGTTAAGTACTATGTAACCGAAGTCACGCGTATTAGTGTCCAACCGCTTTATTTTATAAATCACACTCCTACGGTACTGTACAACCAAAAATACAAAGAATACGAAATTCCGAAAAATGTAGAAATCAGTACAAAATAACAAATACATCAAAGAAAACGAAAAAGCGTTCAAATGGCGTATGACTAACTTGACTTAACGTTAAAAGGAATGAGCTGTTCTTGACCGATAAAAACTGTAAAAAACACTGACCGACAAGACTAAGTTTATACCAAAACCTTGACAGATTACGTAACATTACGTAACGATGGTGACACCAAAAGAAAGTAAACAATATAACAAAAGAAAACTATAGACAATTACAACTAATTGCAAGTAGACGCGAACAAAAAAAGAAAACCCTAAGTTCTTGAAGTTTCGCTTTAACACTACCATTATCGTTATTGTTATTATTATTATTTTATCGTCATTTTCTATTATTGTTATTATTCAATACTATTGAATAATAATTTATTACAACTATAATTATAATTGTTATATTTATTATTGTTTTGCAAATTTGATAAAATGTAGTTAGCTTACAGATTGAAAGTTTTTGGTCATATGTGTTGCTACTTTACAGTTTGTCCTGTTCCGAGGAATAAAGAAGAAGAGGCGTTTATTAAAGAGCGGGAAAGAAACAGAGAACTAATGGAAGAAATCGCCAGAGAAATTGAAATGACGTGCCTAGGTAAGTTAAAAAATATCAATGAATAACAATAATAAAAACTTTGAATGAGCAAGTCCTTCCGAGCGAATTGAAAGCCCTTTTGAATAGTTTAACCCTTTGGGACAATTGGGTGTGTCCAATATGGAACAATACAGATTTTGCATTTCTAAAGCCACTTACCCTTTTAGTTTAACCCATTTAGTTGTTAAGCAGCGAATCCAGAAAGTTATAGATACATACACTATCTACAGGCGGCCATTTTGACTCCTGAAGGAAATAACCCACCCAGCACAGGAAAGGTTGCCCACACCACCGGGGTTTACATCTAACACTCTTTCGAGTGTAAAGTGGTGTGGATTCATTTAGGTCACACAAGTACCACTGTCACTGTCGGAACTACGAGACCTACGGTTTTTCTTCCTTATCCGGGAAGACTACAAAGTCTAACCATTTTCAGATGTCATTACGAAGGCAGCTGGCTTTCTTCTTAGTTATTTAAAGACCCCGACTGTTGGTCCGGCAGGGGTTTAAACCCGCAAACTCCCGCTCAGCAGACCAGCACTCTCCCGACTGAGCCAACCAGATTGCGGAGGTTACAAAACTTGGAACACTGCTAGCTTATTAGAGAAATGCTGACTAATCTTGTGACAGTTTTAGACAATCATTTTGGGCAAAAATCCACTGCAAATCTCGGTATTTGCTACTACTCTTCCCAGTTTGAATTTCCCTTAATCCGGAAAACTAAATAGCCCAATTCCGTGAGGAGAAAGGCTATATTAGTTAGACTAGATATATGTATAGAATAAAAGAGAAAACAAGAAAGCTCCCGTTTATGCTATTTTTTTTTTTCTAAAAACGCACAAAATTTTCCGACTTGGAATTTAATGGTACCAATTTAGATAAACTATTTCTAGTCCATGAGCCATTTTGTGAGAAGTGGGTAAAAATACAATATTTGTAGCAACCCCTCATGGGAAATTGTTATGTTGTTATTAAATGAAAACTTAGGGTGCGCTAAATTGTTTGGAGTATTGATACCAACGTTTTCTCAATGAATTTTAATCGACGGATCATGATGTCAGTTGTTCGTGCTTACAGGAGCAAACGTTTAAGTCTAGGAAATTCTTGTAACTAACTTTAATTTACTTGCTGATTTGTAGACGAGTGTGAAGCAGGACTACATAACTGCCACGATGATGCATACTGCACCAACACCAAGCGTTCCTTCACGTGTACTTGCAAACCAGGATATACTGGGGACGGCGTCAACTGTGCAGGTAACATAATATGGAGCTGAAACGAACAGGATTTTATCTTAAGTCATATGCTATTCCATGCCAAAAATAATACAGCCAAATAGAAAGGTAGAAACCTGTTTTCATATTCAGTCAGTGGTATATATGTCACAGGTTGTATCTACGAAAAGAATTTTGGCCTTAGTACGTGTAAAGTTGTCGCCTCTAATTTTCCGACATAAATCAATAGCAACTGAAATAATTTGAATTGCCAAAAAAAAGTATATTTAAAGCCAACGCTGCAATGTACGTATGTTAATACAGCAAAAAGGCAACATTTGTATTCTTGCTTTCAAAAAAAGTAATAATAATAACTGCCACAATTTAACTGGTCGAGCTCGAACTGTATCCGCAATATAGCACACAGGCTTAGTGCCAGTTAGGCTGGGGAAACAAAAAGTGCGGCCAGCATATGTCTGGGACAGGAAACACCGAGCTCCAAGGCTTAGAGACAGAAAAACTTGGGATCTATCTTTGACATAACGAGATCATCTTCACTAATATATCTAACAAGGCACGAAGGCTAATAGCCAGCTAGGCTGTTAGAAACGGTTAGGGCGCAGCATTTAAGGTGAACAGGAGTTTATCAAGATTGTGGCTGGGGGTCTGTAGCATTGCCAATTTGACTACGTTAATCGTTGACTTATGTCGCCACTTAAGAGCGCTCCTGGGACAGCTGACATAAGCGTACATTAAGACTAAATACATAAGATAAGGAACAGGTGAAAAACGGCGCTCACCGTAGAAATAAACAAAAGAAATGATAAAGTTCAGAAAACTGGCAGAGCTAAGCTACCAACAGAAATAAATGCGGCCAGAAAAGGAAACCTGCCCAAAACTCCACGAAGGGAAAAAAGGGGGCGGGAAATGTTGATAGGAACCAAGCGCCAAGCTCAAAGACGTTTCTACGCGACCTTAAAAGTTAATCGAAAAAGGCCGCTCCTAAAATAAACGAAAAAATTAAGAAAACCAAAGAAAGGTTGTTTCAGAAGGCGAGATGACGTACACGCGATATTGATACGTATAGCCTTTTATACTCCCGGCATGGACAAGGACTTTATTTATACCTGACACACAGAAAAAAATACATTAACAAACTACTTATGTAAGGTACAAGCCTTCTATAGCTAAAAAGATAATATAGCTAGGAGGCACTATAGTGGAGCGAAGCGCGCGCAGCGGAGCACCATGGGTAATAAAAATCGTGAGATTTTTAGAAACATTCAGACGGACCGTTTCTTGAATTAAAACTGAAGTGTTGTTTTTTACATGTTCCTCTTCGAATTGCTATTCATTTTCTCATTCATTACTAGCCATTCAAGAATTTTGCAGTGTGTAGAATTCAAGAATTTCTGCAGTTTTGCAGTGTGTGGCATGCTGCTCGTTTTCCATAATTTGTTCCCTGATTACAGCTGAATACCGTTTAAATTAAGTTTACTGCGCTTGTTCTCAGTTGTTTGTTTACGGCTCTATATTCTCACTGAAAAAGTGAGCTTATCTAAAAAATGAAAGAGTTTTCCTCTATTCTAAAACGGACAGACTCGTCGGCTTTTCGAGCTCGAGTTTGTCTTTTTTTTTTAATGAAAAAAGTTTTAAGTTGCTGTATTAAGTTTATATTTGTAGTGAAAGATTGGATTATAGTTATAAGTAGCGAAAAAGGTTATCGTTTGCTTTCTATGTCTGTGCTCAGAGAAAATATTATACATGTTACGGTAAAATTTTCTTTCAGATATTGTGCGGGTATAAATGTAAAGGCTACACACAAGCTGTTCGTCCGGGCCCGTTTAAAAAAAAAAAGAAGAAAAGAAAAGAAAATATAATGGGCTTACGGGAAGACAAAAGTCCTTAAGTCGGCCTGATTATCCTTTTAGGTATTCCCTTAAACACAGACACACCGACCCTAGAAATCGTAACCTGTAAGTTGCTGCCACCAAGAGACCTACAATTTAACAATTTTTTTCAATTCAGGTTTGTTTGCGGGATGTTTTTTCATAATCATTTAGTCCCTCTCTCTAAAGATGTCTGATGCTGAAGGCTCTGAGGGATGTGAAGATCTCTTTTTTTTTTTTTTTTTTTTTGGCTTAGAGTACATGTTATTACTTTAATTTGATTTCTTTTATCTTAAGTATAGAAACGGAGGCTTCGCTTTTAGCCCTGGCTAAATCTATACATTAGATTAATTAAGAATTTTTAAGAGGTTGTTTCATGGAGGCACAAGTAGAAAACAATATAAAAAAAAACGAACAATAACCAAACAAAGAAAAGAAAAGAAAAGAAAACATATGCACAGACTTCAATGACTGAAAAATTGCTGAAGTGGAGAAAAATATTATTGGCGAGAAAGAACTTACTATGAACTGGTGCCCCTGGCCTCACACCCAGGTCCTGTTGTATCTCGTGCCGTCAAAATAGTTACTTCTTATTTTTAGCTGGCTCATTCGTCATAAATAACATAACTTGCAACATGTAAAACTTTGGATAATCATTTGTCACTGATTTTATCTGGGATTTTGTTATAAGTGGCATGAATTGAATTATAGTTCACTCCAACTTCTTTATTTCCAAAACTGCAGATTAAGATATTCGTGCAATATTCCTACTACTCAAAAGCATTCCATTACTATCCATCATTCAATAGGCATAAGAATCGAAATGATTCAGTTTGATAATTCAGCATTAAATATTGATTTTCAGACATAAACGAGTGTAAAACAGACAAACACAACTGTGACGTTACTAGCAAAGTGTGCCATAACACTATAGGATCCTTCGGGTGTGCTTGCAAGGAAGGTTATTTTGAAGATGGAGAAGATAAATGTAAAGGTAACACTTCAAGATCCCTTAATTGTAACACTCAGATATTTCGCAGCCACGTTTCTTTCACATCAATTTCCTCTGTTCAAAAGTGGTTTTTCACTAGATTCGCCTTAAGTTTCGTTAATTACCATAATAGCTTTTACTAGTACTGATCCCAGAGCATTAAGTTCATATATTAATAAGTCAGATATATTATTTTAATTATAATAGGCCATTTTCGAGTTGACTCGAGCTTCTGTCTTAAAACGAGGCGAAGTGCGAAGCCTTCTGATATGAAAATTGGTTTTAAAGCTTAACAAGAAAGGTTTGAGAATTGACCTCGTTTTGAAAATGAAAATTGATCCCATGAAATGGATATTATTGTAGGCCACAGTAATTGCTGTGAAAGAAAAAGGAAATCAGTTTGATCATTTAGTGCATGACTTCTTTTTTGCAGATATAAATGAGTGTAAAGCAGGAAAGCACAACTGTGCTGCAAACGCTAATTGCCAAAACACTAAAGGATCCTTTGTGTGCACCTGCAAGCCAGGGTATTCTGGGGATGGAGCTAGCTGCACAGGTGAAAACAACACCTCGGTCTTCTTTACGAAGAATCTTTTTCTAATCAACTCCAGTTATGTCGCATTAAAGCCAAGTTCCGCCACAAGTAGTATGAAGCTTAGTCCCTAGAGCTGCAATTGGTTCTTTTACACTTAATAATAAGTATCGAAATGCCCTTGCATACTGCTATAGTTTGTGATTTGCAGTATCGGTATGCAATTTTAGCCATTTTCGAGTTGACTGGAGCTTCTGTCTTAAAACTAGACGAAGTGCGAAGCCTTTTGATATGAAAATTAATTTTGAAGGATAAGGAGAAAGGTTTGAGGATTGACCTCGTTTTGAAAATGAAAATTGATCCCATGAAATGGATACTATGATAGGCCACAGTAATTGCTGTAAAAGAAAAGGGAAATCAGTTTTAATCATTCAGTGCCTGACTTCTTTTTTTGCAGATATAAATGAGTGTAAAGAAGGAAAGCACAACTGTGCTTTAAACGCTAATTGTCAAAACACTAAAGGGTCCTTTGTGTACACCTGCAAGCCAGGGTATTCTGGGGATGGAGTTAACTGCACAGGTGAAAACAATACCTCGGTCTTCTTTACAAAGAATCTTTTTCTAATCAACTCCATTTGTGTCGCATTAAAGCCAAGTTCAGCCACAAGGTAGTATGAAGCTTAGTCCCTAGAGCTGCAATTGGTTCTTTTACGCTTAATAATAAGTATCGAAATGCCCTTGCATACTGCTATAGTTTGTGATTTGCAGTATCGGTATGCAATTTTAGCCATTTTCGAGTTCACTGGAGCTTCTGTCTTAAAACTAGACGAAGTGCGAAGCCTTTTGATATGAAAATTAATTTTGAAGTATAAAGAGAAAGGTTTGAGGATTGACCTCGTTTTGAAAATGAAAATTGATCCCATGAAATGGACACTATGATAGGCCACAGTAATTGCTGTAAAAGAAAAGGGAAATCAGTTTTAATCATTCAGTGCCTGACTTCTTTTTTTGCAGAAATAAATAAGTGTAAAGCAGGAAAGCACAACTGTGCTGCAAACGCTACTTGCCAAAACACTAAAGGGTCCTTTGTGTACACCTGCAAGCCAGGGTATTCTGGGGATGGAGTTAACTGCACAGGTGAAAACAATACCTCGGTCTTCTTTACCAAGAACCTTTTTTTAATCAACTCCATTTGTGTCGCATTAAAGCCAAGTTCCGCCACAAGTAGTATGAAGCTTAGTCCCTAGAGCTGCAATTGGTTCTTTTACGCTTAATAATAAGTATCGAAATGCCCTTGCATACTGCTATGGTTTGTGATTTGCAGTATCGGTATGGAATTTTAGCCATGTTCGAGTTGACTGGAGCTTCTGTCTTAAAACTAGGCGAAGTGGGAAGCCTTTTGATATGAAAATTAATTTTGAAGGATAAGGAGAAAGGTTTGAGGATTGACCTCGTTTTGAAAATGAAAATTGATCCCAAGAAATGGAGATTACGGTAGGCCTCATTAATTGCTGTGAAAGAAAAAGGAAATCAGTTTTGATCATTCAGTGCCTGACTTCTTTTTTGCAGATATAGATGAGTGTAAAGCAGGAAAGCACAACTGTGGTTCAAACGCTACTTGTCAAAACACGAAAGGGTCCTTCGTGTGCACCTGCAAGCCAGGGTATTCTTGGGATGGAGTTAACTGCACAGGTGAAAACACTACCTCGGTCTTCTTTACAAAGAATCTTTTTCTAATCAACTCCATTTATGTCGCATTAAAGCCAAGTTCAGCCACAAGGTAGTATGAAGCTTACTCCCTAGAGCTGCAGTTGGTTCTTTTACGCTTAATAATAAGTATCGAAATGCCCTTGCATACTGCCATAGTTTGTGATTTGCAGTATCGGTATGCAATTTTAGTCATTTTCGAGTTGACTGGAGCTTCTGTCTTAAAACTAGGCGAAGTGCGAAGCCTTTTGATATGAAAATTAATTTTAAAGCTTAAGGAGAAAGGTGAATTAGTAATTGCAGTGAAAGAAAAAGGAAATCGGTTTTAATCATTCAGTGCCTGGCTTTTTTTTGCAGATAGAAATGAGTGTAAAGCAGAAAAGCACAACTGTGGTGCAAACGCTAATTGCTAAAACACTTTTGAGGATATAATTAGATGTTTTATTCTTTATTTTATTCTTTTCATTAGCTTCGCCTATTACATAATAATAATAAAGGAAAAAACAAAGAATAATAAATGCTTAATTAGGCAGGGGTGCCACGACAGCGGTAGGCCAATTACAGTGGTCCCAGAGCTAAAAAAAATATATGTAAAAAACAGTAAAGCTACATATGACAATTAAGAACAACAACGAAGACGGACAAACACGTCACGAGAAACGTTACATGACCAACAGATGGTCAGTTCCAGGGTCGTGGGTACTCTGGGTCGTAGTTATGTTCTAAGGCATCCACGTAGTACTTGTACATGATCGATTTGAATTGACTGATCTTAAAGTTGAAAGTTATCTGCTAGCGTGTTCCAGATTCTGGTGGTTCTATTAAAACAAGATCTCTGAAAAGTGACAGAATTGCATTTCTCTGAAATAAAGTGAGTGACATTACGGTTGCTGTTAGATCAGGTAGTGCGAGTAACTAGGACCTGCGGGAGAACAGAGAAAAGGAAATCATGTCTAAACACCCGTGCCAATCAGGAGATCGGTAAAAAGTAAAGTTTCATTAGCCTGTCCCTATGTGTTTGGTCGCAAATGAATGGTAGATCCAGGATATACTTTGTAGCGCGCCTCTGGACACGCTCGAGCTTTCGAATCATATCTATTGACTACGGAGTCCAGACTTGCTAGCCGCCTGCCAAGATGGGATCTGCGCTTTGCATTTGCTGGGACTAGTTCAAGTTTAGGGTAGCAGAATCTGACCACGAGACCAGGTCAGATAGGTCCTCTTAAAGTCGTTTTATCTTGCACATATTCCTCAAAAAGTAGATAACATCCATCCAGCAATACACCTTTTGCTTTTCATTAAGAGAAAATACGCATTCCTTTGCGTGAAACGGCGACCAATTGCGCGGAGATACATGTCCACGTGCGTCTATATGAGTTTACGACAATAATTTCGATTGCTGTTAATTTAATCCTGTTGGCAAGCTATTTGCTTAGAAAACGATTACAATAAAGCAAAGTAGTATTTTTTTTATAGATGTTGACGAGTGCGCCCGCGGTACTCACAACTGTCACAGTTCACGTGCTTCATGTGCAAACACGGTTGATTCCTTCAGTTGTTCATGCAATTATCCTTACTTCGGAGATGGCAGAACTTGCAATATCGCAAACGGTAAGTCACTAAATAATTAGGAAGTTAAGTTGTTTACTTCATTTGCTAGATCGCTTCCATACTCTTGTTAGATAATGTGCGTTACTCCATACTCGATCGAATTTTTTTCACAATCTGATTGTGAAATATGTGCCTTCAATACAATGATTAGTATTGACAGTATTGTATAAAACGCGGAATCTTGTAATTTAGTGAAGAGATAACTGACTTAGAAGTTAAAAGATCCACCCTTCTCCCCTTCCTTTATAAAACGGCGCCCTAAATGCAGTGTGCTATGACTTAAGCTAGTGAACTCCACCTTTATTTTTGACCAAGATGAATTAACCTTAAAGTACGGCAGTCTACTTTTCAAAACTTTATTCTTGATGTTATATGTATGGGAATTTCTTCTCTGGGATTGCAACGTTAGACGACAACGACTGACTTTTCAGAGACTATTTAGCTATGAAAACGCTGCTTCAGTTGTTCGACAAAAACGTTGTGTTTTCTTCGCGATTTATTCAAATGAAAGTAATAGCGTCCTTTTCTTTGTTTGGTTTTTAGTTTTTCTTTTTTTTTGTTTTTTTTTTTTTGTTTTTGTTTTGGCGCAATATCACTTTTAATTAGCGTTCAAATATCTTTTTGGAAAGTGACACAAAAGGACGCTGCTTACTTCTATTTAAATACGGGACCAACCATAATGATAATGATAATGCATTTATATAGCGCCATGAGCACTATTTGCTCATGGCGCTTATTTTTTATAATAAGAAGTACAGCTGGAAGTATTTACAAAAGTATAAAAGTATAAACAATTAAAAAGTTTCAAGGTTAATATGTAGAGAAAAAATAGTAATAACAATTACAAGTTAAAAGCCATTTTAAAAAGGTAAATTTTTAATGTGTTTCGATACAGTTTTTCGGAGACCATACAATCGCCTTAAAAGTGATTTTGTCCTTGTCCGATCACTACAAACTTTTCACCAGTGATTAACTATGAATTGAAGTTTGCGATAATGTAGTTTTTAGTAAAATCGACATCACTATGATAACAATAAACAAAAAACTTTGAAATCGATAAAATTCGAATTTTGCGCGATCTAGACCTGCCACTGAAAATCCGACACCAGGAACTTATTCAGTGTGGTGTTTAGCAAGTAACCTCCGTGGGAAGTAAAAAATTCTGTATGTTTGAATTCAAATAAAATGCAAATATATATCAAACCTTACATTTTCAATAGCCGTGATAAATTGTTTTATAAAAAAGTTCTAAATAACTCAAATTAATCTTAAGTAGCGTCAGATGGCTGTTAAACATCATATTTTCATGCTAGGAAATATTGGTGTATTTTCTCTCTTCCGATCCTGAAAACTAACCTGTTCGTTGACCTCCTGTCTAGGTGTAACTTTACCCTAGATTTGGCTTTTTGCGCTTTTCTGAATATCTCTAAAACGGCTCGACAAAGAGGCGAAACCAAAGGCCCACATCACATACATAGCTTAAGAAGCAGTTGCTTCATAAACAGCATTCAACGTCGCGGGAAACCTTGTTATGATCGTGAAATTCACATTCCAAAGCGTATTTGGTAACTCTCGCCAAAGTCCAAGACACGCCAGCGCGTAATGTCGCGAGGAGTCACTCGAGCTGTATTCTATCCTTTGATCTGATTGGCCAACGAAGAAACAAAAGCTTTTACGTCGCCGATATCGTTTTGCCGCTCGGGTTCGCAGACGTTATTTTTCGGAGGGAGAGAAGCGACGACCGGAAATTCGTCCGCTGTTCGCAGGCTAGGCTGAGACAGAAAGATACGATATTGTCCGCTTTTCGGGAACAGGGTTTTAGGAGTCAGAGTAATTAGGCGAGAGCAAAATTCCTTGTGAACTTTGACCCCGTCCTAGACTTCGTTTATTTCCGGTGTGAAAGCAGGGTCTATATATGCTGGTCTGCCGACCGTGTGACTGTACATCAGGGAACTTGAATAAGACGTGTGTTAAGAGAAAAGTCCTGGTCCCGGTTCCTGAAAACCCGATTAGCGCTAATTCAGGGTTAAACATTTTGTTCCACCTTTTGTATCTACCTTCCTATGCATTGCTTAGAGTAACGTTCTATGTTGTCATCACTGAATCTCGGAGCAAAAACACAGCAGTATTTGTAAGCTCAAGTGACTTGTTCTTAGACAATAAAACCTTGCTTGAAATTTGAGGGTTGTCCAATACTGTCGATATGATATAAGTGTTGTTGAGAAGGCAAATGCATCTCATTAAGGGGACTTAGAAATTTTGTTGTTTGTCATGTTAGCAACAGACCCCGTGACTTATGTCGTATCTTTGCTTTAAGAACGACTCTATACACAGTGTCTAGAGCTCTTGTTTCTTCGTGTGGCTTATGCAAGGTCTTTGCTTAAAGAACAATAAATACACAGTGTGCATCGCGCTTTTTCTTCCGCGTGGATTATGTAGGATCTTTGCTTAATTAAGGAACGAGTCATACACAGTGTGTAGGGCGATTGTTCCTTGAGTGGCTTATGTCGGTTCTTTGCTAAAGAACGTTGAACACACAGTGTGCAGCGCACTTCTTCGTTCGCGTGACTTAGGTCGTATCTTTGCTTAAAGAACGACGAATACACAGTGTGCAGCGTGCTTGTTCTTTCGCGTGGCTTATGTCGTATCTTTGCTTAAAGAACGAGTCATACAAAGTGTGTAGGCCGCTTGGTCCGTAGAGTGGCTTATGTCGGTTCTTTGCTTAAGAACGTTGAACACACACTCTGCAGTGCGCTTCTTCCTTCGTGTGACTTACGTCATATCTTTGCTTAAAGAACGATGAATACACAATGTGTAGGGCGCTTGTTCCTTCGAGTGGCTCATATCGGATCTTTGCTTAATTAAGGGACGATAGATACACAGTGTGCAGCGCGCTTGTTCTTTCGCGAGGCTTATGTAGGATCTTTGCTTAAATAACGAGGCATACACAGAGCGTAGGGCGCTTGTCCCTTCGCGTGACTTTTGTCAGATCTTTACTTAAAGAACGAGAGATACACAGTATAGGGCGCTTGTTCCTCCGTGAGCGTTGCCATCTGCGCGCCCTTCATTTGTTGCAAAGTTGACCTTTATCTGGTCGTTTTCCCTTTTGCTTGCCTCATTACGACGCAGGTATTTAAAAACTAGATTCCATGTTGCCTTGCTGTTCAGTAATAGATCACAGACGATGCATTTGATTCCAAAATTTAGTAAAAAACAAATTAAAGAAATGGCACACGAGCCGCAGGCGAATGTGTCACCGGATGACATACATATACGTTTTGAGTCCCAGACGGCACTTTTGTCTGTTTTTTTCTTCCTCAGTATATCTTACTTGTATAAAGTTACTTCGAAATGTTTTTTAACGCGCCCACTTGCTCAACGAGCAGAATAATCGCAAACTGCGAGTCTCTGGAAAGCGGTGACACACTATTGACAACTGTTGTGAAGATTTCTTGCATTTTAGGCATTCCGATAAGTTGTCAAGAACTCTTGTTCCCTCCGTTTCTCCATTTCTTGGTCTTGTAAATAGCTCATTCTATTTTTTTTTTCGGGGGCGGGGAAGGGGGGGCTTTCACTTGCTTACTCCGAAGTACGTATCTAACAAACATTTTCAGAACCGCACGCTATGTTGAACAAAACAAAGGAAACAAGTTTCTCGTGACAACATCTATGTATCTGTACTCTAATAGATCATGGGCAATGACTAATCACACTGCCCATAGCATTCACATAAACGTGTATCGTTCATGACCTGGACGACACAAGTCAAGGCGCATTGACACACACACAAGCGAATAGAAACTTAAGGTTTCTTTTGGAGAATTCTAAGCGAATGCTTGTATCGCAGCAGTTTTCTTAGTAACTTCTAGTTTGTAAGGATCATTCGTTACGTCCCGGTTAGATTGTGCTTATAATCGTTTTGTACCTATGTGACTAAACCTGCCTTTAACAACTATTTTAACTTCTCTCACTATCTGGATTTTATTGGCGATTAACGGCCTAATTCATATAGACATCACTGCATGTGACTGGAGCTTTAAGATAATCGTAGTTTCGTGGTGTTGCGGAGAAGACATAAAAACTAAACAATACCCACATCATAAAACAAACCAGTTAATGCGAACTTACAATTAGTTTCCTATCCGCAGCACCAAGAAATACTGCTGCACCCGAGATAGCATATTATTATAGAGTCTAGTACCCCATAGAAAACTGCAAGAGTACGAGTTTTAGTCGCGACTTGAGCAAGCTAAGAAAACAGAAGAGGAACTGAAATGTTTCATACAAGGACCACATTATAGCTGCCATAAACTGATCGGATGGAGTCAGATCAGTGGCCAGTGTGAAATCAAGAGCATCACCAAAGGCCGGTTCTTCGTCCATTTTTCACGAGAGGTAAAGAAGCTTCACTGTAAGAAATCAGTATCAAAATAGAGCGTTATAAATCCGTTGCACAACGCGAATAGTACTGGGGTGCAACATACTTGAAAGGTCCAACTAGCAAAAATCACTTTGTCGTTACACCCTTACTCACCAAAATTGTTTAAATGGAAGCAGGGGAGTGAGATTGGAAGGAGTCACAAGCATGAAATCTTGTTTTCTCTCAATATTATTTATTCAATATTTCTTCGTTCCTGATTGTCTGTCCTGCCGCTAAATCCTCACATCCGGCACACGCTTACCATATTTGGAGGTCGACGTAGGCAGTACCCAATCGGTGGCATGCTCCTCCTCGATCTGCATAATCAGATTCTTCACATCATATTCAGCCTCATTCAATAATTGTTAAATAAATGAACTATTTGTGACTCAATGAGGTTCTCAATAGAAGAGGAAAACTTTGAACTTGTTTCCGCCATGTTAAGGCGGGGAGTCGAAAAATCATCCACATTGATCACGTCGAGTGAACCATTACATTAATCACGATGTATGCACTATTACTTCAATCCGGAGAATTGATTTCTCTAATTTTGCCGATTAACTGCGGATGCGGTCAACTTTAACAGTCGAGACCCAACTGTTGTCTAACGAAAAGTTCGGAAATAGATCCTCAGAGAATGTTCCCCTAAATCTTAATTTGCTAGTTAGTATCTTTTTATCTTTGTTAGTATCTTTTTCTTTTCGGTATCTTGTGTTTGGATTTTATTTTCATTGATTCACGGTAACCTTTGAAAGAAATTCATTTTGCTCCATCCACTTTCCTTTCCCTTACAGTGTATTTTATATTAGCAAGTTTGCCCGTTTATCATGCTTTTCAATAATGTGAAACCTCCTTTAAAACTTATCAATATTCAGTAGGGGTATCGTCCAATGGACTTCACAAACTCAGTCACTTGGGGCGGGGCTTTTAATTCGGTCTGAGGAAAAATACTAGTTAAAATGACTGAAAGATTTGATGTAAATACTATAAATATACATAAAATGTTAAAAACTTATTCAAAAAAATGTCGAAGTTTTTTTAACTGAGGAATCATTAGACTAATCCAATTTCACGACTGTTTATTCATCGAGCCAAGAATACTAGCCTGTGAAAACATCCGTTTCTCCTCTCTCTTCGCCGCTGTGGACGATTTGCGCGGAGGAACGTCTACGACTCAGCGACAGAAATTCCATACTGATGACGTAAAATCTGTCCGGATTCCGGTCAGAAGCGCTGATTGGTCGACGGAGTAATTACTTTGTTTTAGCTATTGTTCACGAATGACAGACAAGAGGCCAAAAAGGTCAAATGTAAACGCGAAGAACCTCTCACAAACCAGTCAATATTTGTGGAATATAGTCGTCTCTAGAATAAGCATTTGAGTTTTACTGGAGCTTGTTGGCAGATGGACACAACAATTTTAATACCAAAATCGACCAGAAGACACGAAAAGTTGGACAAATTTATATTTGGAAACCCATGACTACTGGATTTGTTATGTAAACATTGATTTGCGTCATCAATATGGAATTTCTGTCGCTGATTCGTTGACGTTCCTCGGCGCGAAACTTCCCCGGCGGCGAAGAGCGAGGAGAAACGGATGTTTTCGCAGACTACAAGAATACGTGTAAGTCGTTGAAATGAGACGTAAACAATTCTTACATGTACCAGTCACTGAACGGTTTGCAATTTCGCAAAACTTGTCAATTCCCATTATGTCGCGTCGTGTCGCATCGCAGTTAGATGTAGTGACACTCTCTTCGAAAGCTTTTCCCTCCTGTACGATTCAGAATAACTGTGGAAATTTCTATCATTTGGATAACCGTTTTGCGAAGGCAGGTAGACGGTTAAGGCCTATTTACATGGAGGTGGGGGTCCCCAGGTTAGTGAGGTGATCCGCTTAGGTAGGGTAACCCGCCTGTCCACCCCCACCTATCACGTAAACTTGATCAAATTAAAATGACAGATTATATGGACAGGCGTGTTACCCATCTACAGGTGAACAGGTCTTTAAACTGTGTACTGTACACGACCCGAAATGATCCCAGACCCCAAATGATCCTCGACCGCATGTGATCCCCAAAGTCGACCGCAAATGATCCCGTGAAAACTTGAGTAACGGAATAGATTTTATGGGACTGATTGCAAAAAAGGACTGATTATAAAAAAGGGAAGGAGGACGCTACATCTCAGGTCGATTTATAGAAGGCGAAAAAAGTAGAATAAATCTGAAAAGGATATGGTATCAACCGTATATACTTCTTCCTTTGCAAATTGCTTCAATTTTCTTTCAAGAACTGTTTCGTCGCTGAAAATTTAAGACAGGCAGGACGTTACGCAAAAAAAACTCTATTCAGTTTTAACGCCCAAGCTCAACTTGTCTACTGACGAATACAAAGCCTGGCACCCTCTACATAATAAGAGCTTTAATGACTTTACTGATCTTTTTAGAAGTGTCCAATTAAATTTTCAAATTTAGTTTTTTTTTTCGCTGAAGTGTTAATTTTACGTGAAACAGCAAGACATTGGTTCGTAACTTAGGAGTGCCCCAGGCCTGGGAGTGCCCTTTACGAAACAAGACATGATTTGAAATAAACACACGTCAAAATGCAAGTGCTAAAATGCTTCCAGTTCAAGTCTCTATGGATGTAACTAGCCTATACACAAACATCCCAGAGGAAGAAGGAATTACCATTATATGCAAAGCATACGAAACATTCTATCGAAACGAACCTCCAATACCTAGCCAATACCTCGAAGTGAAGTGAAGTGAAGTGTTAATTTTATGTGATAAACAGCAAGACATTGGTTCGTAACTTAGGAGTGCCCCAGGCCTGGGAGTGCCCGTTACGAAACAAGACATGATTTTAAATAAACACACATCAAAATGCAAGTGCTAAAATGCTTCCAGTTCAAGTCTCTATATGGATGTAACTAGCCTATACACAAACATCCCAGAGGAAGAAGGAATTACCATTATATGCAAAGCATACGAAACATTCTATCGAAAAGAACCTGAAACGCCTGATACTCAGGCTACCTAAAGGAGAACTCTTTCAAATTTGTTGGAAAAAAACTACCGCCAAGTACAAGGTACGGGAGCAAAAATGGCAGTTGCATTTGCTAACATCTTATGTCTGCAATAGAGACAGAAATTATTAACAAAAGTCCGCTTAAGTGTGGAAGAGATTTATCGATGACATATTCTCATTGTGGAATATATATAGACAAAGACGAAATATACTCATTCCGGCATCGAACTAGCAAATAACCACCACCCGATCATAAAATTTACTGCTGAAGTTTCAGACATAGAAACCGTTTTTCTGGATACATGTATTTACAAAGGAGAAAGATTTAAGACGGAATCAATCCTAGATATGCATACACACTTCAAACCTACAGAAACTTTCCAATACACGCATTTCCCTTCATGTCACCCACCCTAGGGGTTAAGAAAGGATTTGAAAAGGCGAGGCCTTACGATTACTCAGAACAAACTCTTCTGAGAAAACATTCGAAGAGAATATAATTAATTTCGAAGACTCCGTATCAGAGGTTATACAGATAAACTGATAGATAAAAACCTATCGGAAGTCAAGCATCACGAAAGAATGTCGGCTTTGCAAAACAAGACAAAAACGCACAAGAAAATACTACCGTTCGTAACAGAATATCGCCCCTCAGGATCTATGTCTAAAAAGCATCATCATGAAAAAATGGTGTATTATATAAAGCCAACCGTTGCTCAGAGAAATCTTTAAAGATCCTCGTATAATATCTTACAAAAAAAGGAAAGTCATCACAAGATATACTCGTAAGAGCCAAACTATGAAGCTAAGGTCAAAGATACAACAACTCAGCCAAAGAGAGTCGTGTAAACACTATGAACAATACAAACTATGAGGCTAAGGTCAAAGATACAACAACTCAGCCAAAGGGAGTCGTGTATGGCCTGTCAACATTATGAACAATATTTCTGGTATCAGACTCGGCACATGTGAAATTTGATTTTTAAACTGGGCCTAACGAGATGCTATTTGCACGATTTAAACCTCCAATTTAAACTATAAAGTTTCTTGCAAAATTCGTTAAAGAGGAGTTCTAATTATTTAATAAATTGTCCAAAATTTATAAATACATCAACATTTCAAACAATTCGAGCCAAAATTCTTTAATTTACTTTATTCTAGTAACTCTATCATCTGCGGAAATTAAACGTTATCCCATTCCATTCCAATAATTCCTCGGGGATCATTTCAGGTGGCGTGTGAAAAAATTTGGGCATCATTTGGGGTCTAGGATCATTTCGGGTCGTGTACAGTACTTGAAGTTGTACAATGTATTTGTATAATAGCGGAGCTCTGGCGCGCGAAGCGCGCCTGCGGAGCACCAAGGGAAAGTAAATCTACCCATTCCAGAGAATTTGGTAATCACGTGACCGTACACCGCCCGCCCGCTGCCCTCCGTCCGCACCACAGGGAAACCAATGTTCAATCCTACACTTTCTAGCTAGTTTGGGAGCACAGGAAGAAAGATATTGCACACATATTGCTCATCAATGTTGTGATCAATTGACAGCTGTCAAAACAGGGTCCCGCTGACCAGTATCACCTGACCGTATTTTTTGAAGTTCTTCGCTGACAAGTTACTAGTTTCAAATAATTGCAGGCTCAAGTTTAATTTTTTCAATTCATATGAAATATGTTGTGTTTTATATGTGCCGTACAATTAAAATTTTGATTTCAAACTGACCTCGGAAGCTAAGATTCAGCCAGTTTTTACAGGCGGGGAAGACATGCCAGTTGCTTTTGACTTTTCCCACCAAGGTCACGCGTTGGTCACACTCTCCAACTCTCTCTCTCTACGTCCAATTTTTATGCTCTGATTGGTCAAAATTTGACAGGCGAGTTTATGCGGAAAACTTATGCAGCATCTTGAGACTTGTTTACTTTGACAGCTGAAGCTGACAGAGTTTTGTGTCAACTTGAGATGTTTTTAATTGTCTTTTTCCACTGAACATTGTACAAATTGAAATTCAGCTGCTATCAAGAGTCTTCTGTTATTCATGGCTAGTTTGTTTATCGGGTTTTTGGTTGAGAAATACGTCGCTTGAGAAAGTCAGAAATCCGATTTCGGATGGCATCGTTTTCGTTTTTCACCTTGCTTAATGCGTAAGAGGTTTGAAAAGTCTGAAGCGATTTTGGCCATACTTGATAGTTTTCATTGCATCTCGAATGGTAAGCCTGAGTAATTTTTTTATTTGATGTTTGTTTTTTTTTTTTTATATCATGGATGTAGTTTATGGGGCTATTTAGTTTATGCACGTTTGTAAGATTTGAGACAATGATCTGACCGGGTATCAGGTTTGATTATAAGCTTATAGAACTTTAAAAAGCCTTCAGACATTTTCTCACCGCAAATAGAAAGAAAGCGTTCCAAAGAATATTTAGTTATAATTCTGGCTGTAAAAGAAAGCTTTGACCGATTTTCTTGGCTCGAGTTCATCTTTGAAAAATGCAAACACCGGGAAGCCGGCTTAAAACATAAACAAGGATTTTCAGAGACACTTTAATACTTGTCTTCGTGAATGAAAATTGTTGTCTCTGTATATGTTTCACCGAATTATTTTCCTTTTATTGATTGTTAGTATCAATTTGCAATTTGCAATTTTCATCACTGTTGTGCCGTTTGTTTTCAGTCGCTCATGAACATAGATTGCAGGAGTAGTCAAAATGCCGCGTGTATCAAACCGTTGCTTTTGAAGATTACACATCGTTATAAAGCCATTCATTATGTTGAAGTGTATAACTGTGTTAATCGTAATTTAAACAGTCGACTTTGGCTCTTGTCAAGAGTGAGAACCGGCTCACCGTATAGGTGATTTTGGAAATTTTTTTAACGGTTTCGCTAACGTGTGCTTCGATCCTCCTGAATATTGAATGAGTGCAATTTGTATTGCAAAATTGTGAAATACTGCATTCTGTCCGAGGTCTGTATGATAAAAACAGCGCCTCATGGTACTATTTCACCTCAGATGTGATGTATAAAAAGTATAAAAGGTTGGTTTACACGTCCCCAGAATTGTTGGCAAGATTTTGTAAAGTAAACTTATCGAACGCACAAAATTCGGCCTGAGTTGTTTTCCTAATGTACTGTGATCAAGAACCATTACGGCTTTGCTATTTTTTAGGTGTACATATAAGGCTATCAAGTAGATGTAAGATTAATTTCACTCTTAGCTTGGACTGTTTGCAAATTATTTTTCTCTAAAATTACTTAGCCTTTCCGTCAAAAGTCACATGAATGTGCTCTAAAGTTAACTGATTTGTGGAATACAAATCTACAATTGTTTGATTTAAATTATAAATTCGAGTTAGTAGGAGCTTCGCTTTTAGCCCTGGCTAAATCTATTTTATATACTAAAACAGTGGATAGTGTTTTTCGCGCGCTCTGATTGGCTACTCGATCAGTGAATATCCTGCACTATTCACTGATTCACCTCCAGTTCCTCCGAGCGAGAGACGCCAAACTCGCGTAGGTTGCGAGCAAAATGCTTTCCCGGTTTACTGCCGTAACAAACTAAGAAATTTCACAACTAATCAAGCAAGCTATTTCCGAAATACATGAAGAAGGTGACGAAGTTCGGTTTGGAAGTTTTAACAGGTAAAGCTTTGTCTTTTTGACTTGAATAGTTATCGATAAAACCGGTGAAAAAGTTTTTTGTTTACAAATGCAAATTAAGCTTAAGTCTTGCGTTACTTTATTTAGTTGGCTTGTTCATAAATAAGCTTAAAACTAAATTTAATAATCTTTTTTACAGAATTATTTTAAATACAAACAGAATTCACAACTCCTTTTGAAGAAACTTCCCCGCAAGAGGTAAACAAACGCCTTCAAAAGTTTTATTTGTCGCTCAGAAAAAACGACGACCGCGGACGTTCGGTCATCGCGCGCCAAAATTGTAAACGTTGGCAACAGAAAATGACTTGAAAATCATTATTTTGTGCTCAATTATCTCACTGTTTTAGTATATACTAAAACAATTATTCACCTCAGTGTCGGTGGCTAGTAGTGGTAATTTACCTCGCCGCTTCGCGGCCTCGGTATCCAGTATATATCTAAATATCCAATACTAGCCACCTTTACTGAGGTGAATAATTGTTATATATTTATATCTGACCATGCAACCTTTGTTATTTTGGCTGCTTTGGTGTTCCCATTTTATTATTATTATTTTTTAGTTTAAAAGAGAAAACCGTTATTTAGCAACCATATTGAAGTGAAATATTTAGTAACAGTAATAGTTCATCAGCCTACTCCATAAAATGGCTTTTCAGCCAACTTCAAAATTGCAATTTTTCTGCTTTACAATATGTGAAATTTACATTGTATTGGGAAAAAAATGAAATAGGGAAATGACGCTTCTTCACTTCAGCCTTAAGCTGCTTTCTACTATATTACCTGAAGAGTTTGCAAAGTCATTCCAGGGGCGGACTGCTCATTGCCGCTGACCGGCAGTGAATCTAAAGGAAGGCATGTCTAACTTTTTTCTGTTTCTGATATTACGAGAGTGCGTATGGACCATTTTCTTAAACCTGTTACAGATAACGGGCTGGGCAAGTCTCTTAACATGTGTTAAATGAACTCGAACTTTTTAAGGCTTGTTAGAACACGCAACGCACGCGTTTTATCACTGGTTAAAAAATCTTGCGCTTATTACGCTCGAATGTTAAACTAGTGATAAAACACTGCTGTTCGTGTTTTAAACATTACTAAACACGGAACGCTTTCAGACTAGAAAGCAATTGTTTTTCCTTTTCCTACATTGAGATACATTACCTTAGAATTAAACACCAAAAAACATTCACCAACATATGACAATCAACTTGAACGATGTGGAATAAGAGTGATAAAAATTTATTTGAAACAGCTTGAATACGATTTTTTTGTGGCGTCTTCGCTCCATGCCGTCGCCGTCGTGGTTGCTTAATATGCTCCTTATAAGGAAAGAGACCGTGACTGATAGGGAGATAGTAGTTAGTAGAATGGGTATCCTACCGCAAGTTGACCATAATTGTAACGCAACTCTAAATAAAGTAAAAATCCCAGATTATGCAAAAGATTACAAAAACGAATATCTTTTTATAAGAGGGATTAATATAAGGGGGATAATGAGATATTTAAAAAAACATAAAGTTGAAAAAATAAAAAGATTAATTGAAAGATTTGATAAAGCCCAGAAATTAGGATATCTTAAAGATATTAGTGATAAAGATATTTGGGGATATGATGTTTATATTTCATTTTTAACTTTTGGATAGTTCAATTGATATGGGGATTATTATTATATTTATAATACGGAATATGATAAAGAAATATTTGAAAAACTTGTAGATGCTGATTTTCCAGGTTATATAGATTTTGTTGGATGTATAGAGTTATTTCATACTAAATTTAAATTACGTGAAATAGAAATAGATTCGAGTAAAGTTAATTGGCATGATAGTGATGATAGTGATGATAGTGATTCTTCTTTTAATGATATTTAAAGCCTTATAATATTAATATTATAAGACTTAATTACTAGCCATATTTTTTTTAAATGGAAGATGATCAACTTTTTTCAATAGCTGAAAAAAAAATCGTTAAAATATCACAATGATTATCGTCGTATAACGTACAGTCTTCTTGGAGTAAGTATTAAGGATAATACCATTGAAAGAGAAGGTAAAGACACATGGTCTGTTGAATGGATTTTAAATACATATCTTACAGTCAAACCAGGTCAAGCGTACCCCCCAAGAATCCCTTAATGAATTTAATATTCAAATGTTGAATCCGTTGCTAGTTGTAGATTTCAGATTGATCTCTGCATTCTTGCATGTGTAATGAGCCGTGAATTCACACGCGAGGCAGTTATGAAATTTCTACCAGCTCCATTTTCCTGGAATTGATGTAAATGTCTTCTAAGAAGCTTAATCCATTCAAAGATTTCCAATCTGACCAAATACAGAGAAGTTCTCGTAAAATATTCACTGCTCATTACGCATGCAGAAATACCGCTTTGAATTTGACACCAGTTACGGGAACGACTAACGGATTCATTTTTCAAATAATGAATTCATTAATAGAATCTTGGGGGGTACGCTTGCCTTGGTTTGACTGTAATTATGTTAGATTGTCTGTGATAGTTTCACCAAATAATTCAGCGGCGATGTACCATGGGGTTTTGTCACGACTACTTTATTTTATTAGGGTTGGTAAAACTAAAGATTTGAAAAAAATTAATGACTTAATTGACAATATCAATCTCTTTATTAGTATTATCATTGAGATAATTCAATCTCTGGGCTTTTTCAAATCTATCTATAAACTTTTTTATCTTATCAACTCTATGGTTTTCAAATACTCCCTTATCCGCCTTATTTATATTATCTAAAAAATACTTAAAACACTTATCAATACCCCTTATAAAAAGATATTCGTTTTTGTAATCTTTCGCATAATCTGGGATTTTTACTTTATTTAGAGTTGCGTTACAATTATGGTCAACTTGCGGTAGGATACCCATTCTACTAAGTACTGGAGATCGGGTATGCCAAATGTGGAGAATATGGAATCTACGCCTCCGACTGAGTTTAATAAACTCTGGAGGGGCTAAACTGTAACGTCACTGAAATTGGCAGAAGACTGCGAGATTAAAACCGCAGTATTTGAAGAGAGAGCATCATGCCGCTAGTACGCAAGCTCAGAAAGAAAAAACTTTATAGGCGTTTGTTATTTTGCGCTTTTCAGCCTGATCATTATGATAACAAGCTTCAAGGGTTTGTGACCCTTGCGCGAGCTCGTTTTTATAAAGGGTACATCTCCAGAAAGTCTAGTTCGCTGCTTTCCTTTATTTTACTCTATGAGATCCCTTGACGCACACGAATCCGTGCAGAAGAAGAAAATGAAATTGCTTGAAATTGCAGGCAATGAAAACAAATAATCAAACAGGAATAGTTCATTCTTCCTTTTGAGTTCGTAGCCATCCTCACTCCGCAGCAACATTGTCAAATTTTCTAATAGATTCACTCGCCTCGGGCTCGTGCTCGTGGATCCACAACACTTTGACAATGTCATGATGCGATGATATGATCAATAAGAGGACAGACGATAAAGAAACTAGCGTCAATGTGATGAAAGGAACCAATTTTAGTGCGTAAAACTAGAAATACGTTTTCACAAAAATCTCGCGAAGCTAACGGGGCCAGCAGTGAGAATAAACAGTAAAAAGCCAAAGGTTAAAAAAAACGATGAAAGAAAAAAAAAATGGAAGTAGACACGTCGGGGTTGGAACCCAGTTGCACCCCAACTTCCTCCAGCGAAAAAGTGCGGCCTCTGACCACTGGGCCATGCGACCACTGCACCGATAACTCATCAAAATTAATAGTGTTGAAATATTTTTCTCTGCCATTCACACTGCTTGAACCTTATGGAGCTGTATTTATCATGAATTCAAAGATACATTCGAGGAAAAGTAACTCAAACGAGTATTTCAAAACCATTTTGCATTATTTCCGTGTTTATTCACTCTCGGGCTTTAAATAGGCCGCTCGATTAACGGAGTGGTCTTCTTCTTCGCTGTTCTCGCTGAAGTTCAGGTCACCGTTCTTTCGGTGTTAAACCTCCCACGGCAAGGACTTCCACTTGTCCAATTGGGCACTGTTGTGTTTGCAGCCCGCTGTTATTTGCCTCAGAAATACTTTGCGTTTCGCTAGCGTACAATAAACAGAGGATGAATAAAAAGTCGCTGGCCGTGTTGCCTGGAAACCCAAAATGCACGATGACGTGCATTTGGCGTCTTTATTATTTGTTTATGGCTTGTTGCTAGGCAACTGCGGATACCAAACCGATAGAAAGATTTATGACCAAAGCGAAATCGCAGCTCGCTTGCGATCCTCGCGTAATCTGCTCGCTGTGCGGGCGACAAAATTATACACTCGCTCAGCGAGAATTATTATTTAACCTACTATTTCTCTACTTCATCGTATGTAGCAGAGATCACTCATCCATTTGCAATGGCAGATCGAGGCAGCTAAAGAATGTCTACAGATATATTTGTCTCCCTTTCCCATGTTATTGCTTAACCTCGGTCTGTATATCTACCAGTGTGTGAAAGCCAGTAACCAATCCTCAATTACTCGTATGCAGACAATTATCGCCACAGTGGGGCTGGTGCTGGGGATCTTACAGGACGTGAAAATTACCCACTTTGAGCCTGTTTATGTACAGTAGATAAAA